GCTTCACTTGCTTCAGAGCCCCGGGCGAAGCCATTTGCTTCATTTTTAGGGGGCGAAGCGCGAAGCTCCGAAGCTACTAGCTTCACTTGCTTCAAAAGCTTCGGTCGATTCCCGAACCAAATCTGGCGGTCCCTCTACTATAGTATAATAACCCTAAACCCTTGACCCTGTTTACTTGCGCCTGCGCATGATGCGGATTCCGACTTGCGGGGAGGAAAAGGGGGCGGCAAAAAAGCAAAGCACACAATAGGGTATGGTAGGGAAGAATGGAACATAGCCCAAACCCATGATTAATAAACCCCCTCCCCTTTATAGGGATTATGTTAGGGATCCTGATATTTAGGCCCTTAAAAGGAGGGGGTTTATTGATCATCGGTCTACATTAGTATGCTCGTTGAACGCCTGCATCGATAGCGACAGCCAGGCCCATGGTTTGAAAGCAGGCGAAGTTTGCCAAAGGTCGCATAACTGCATGCAGGTCTTGATGCCCCTTGTTCGGCATATAGTCCCCCTTAAGCAGATAGAATATGGAAATCATACGATCGCCATATACCCATATTCTATCTACTTAAGTGGGACTATACCGCGGCCAACCGCATGTCCCCAGGTATTTTTGCAAACAAAGTCTCTTGTGATCCCAGATCTGAGGAATGGTGTGCAGTCGTTGGAGCTGGCGGAGCTTCCTGGGCAGCACGTAGCAAAGGTGTCCATTCGTGTCATAACACTTTGATTCAATACTTTTTATATCTTTCTATGCGGCCCGTCTCTGAGGCCAAACCCTTGGGCGAGCACAGAACCTGTGCTGCAAACGGAGGTCGCATAGGACGACAGCCTCGGTCCAATGATGGCCGAGCTCCTCTCAGCTTTGCAAATGCCCAGCACGCAGTGCACGCGGTGCACGCAGTGCAAATTTTCATTTTCGGTGCCTCACCCCCGGTTAGCAAGTGTCACCAGCGAATACCCACGCAGCTATGCTCCAGGGCAGAAAGAGAATGGCATGCTCGTGATCTTACAGGTGAGGTCGGGCTCATGATCGAGAGGTAATAGTTCTGCGAGTGCGGCTGCTCCATCGTCACAGCTATTTAGTGCGGAGTTGATGCAGTAATCTCATAGTCAAAGCATGCAGAGCTAGAGCTTAGCTTGCTGGAAATACTTCTCTGAATTGTGGTGTGTCAAATTCACGTGGATGTCCAAGCTCTGTACTCTGTAACCGCAGCTTCAGTTCAAGAGTCTTGGAGCAAAGGCTCCGAGCTTTTGGCCCGTGCCCAGGCCCCGACGCCGACATGTGCTGTATGTGAACTTGGAAGTTTATGGAAAAGAACATGGAAACTACTACATTATAATAGGGTATATATTGGGGTTATATAGGGATAATGGAAAAGAAAATGGAAAGTATTTTGTGTGAACTTGGGTTGAGAAAAAATGGTGCGGGCAAGGGAGGTTGACTGGCCTGATACCGGTTCCAGGCGTTTATCCGCCCCTGCGTTTTGCGAGTTTCGTAAAGTCTTGTCGGTATGCATGATGCTAGTGTTGCACTTGAGTAATCCAGTTGTTAGAGCTACCACGAATTTACAGAATACTGAATCACCCAAAAGACCATCTGATAGTAGGGCACCACAACTCAAACTTGCATAGTTTGTCACAACACATCTTCGGACACAACAGCACTTTCGATCCGATACCGCAGAAGCCACAACCAAACAATAAAACAACAAAACAACAGCAAATACCAAAGCAACAAAAGTACAGGAGAGGTTTTTTTCAAGGAGCACCATAATTATGCATGACTTTGTTCTTGGCTGGGCTCCCGCACTATGGGGTTCAGAGCTCTACGGCCGTGTTTGTAAATTACGGCCTGTTCAGGGATTGTCTCTAGCTCGGACTTTATTCCGGACTGTTACTGGTTAGAGGATTAGAGGAGGGTATTTCTACATGGTGTCTTACTAGGAGCTGTTCCTGGTAAGGGCCTGATGGATTATTGCTAACCTTGATTTTCGAATTACGATTTTTTCTTAATTACGGTCTAGTTTCAGACTAATTATGCCCGATAAAAGTCATCGCGCCACTATGCTAAGATTATCTCTGGTCCTGAATGCCCTGCAGATGCATTTGCAGGGAAGTGTCGATTCGTGCTTTACATGGAGCAGAGATTTCAGACCACAACTTGTTATTTTGAATTTCTATGAAGCCAAGTTCAGAAAGTCAAGTTTGGAAGAAGAAGGGTTTAGGGTTTAGGGTTTAGGGCTGGACATTTCAATTCCTTCAAGCTGGGTTTCCCGGGCAATTTCGTTGCGGACAAGAGAGAGCTCTCTTATCTACTGTTTTACTAAGTAGCCAGCGCAGGTCTAAACAGGTTACGAAAAGTTTTCTTCTGTGTTGTTGGGTCTCTATTCTGATTCTGCTTGTTGTCGGTTTGGATTATTCTAGATCAATTGTGATCGCTTTGGCTTTTGGACCTTATGAAGGGACTTCAGGAATAACGGTTCTTCTTGGATACCGTTAGGACGTACTTCTTTGTTCTGGATGAAGGGGAAGTAGTGTACCAGGAGCATGTTTTATTTGCCTGATTGCAGGGATACGCTACGCCTGCGTCATGGGCGAGCGGCAACCGTTGAATCAGAAGGCAAATGTGGTGGACAAAGTGGACATGGTGTATAGTACCCCTTAAGTAGATAGTAAATAGAATATGGGGTATATGGAGATCTTATTATAATCTACTATTCTATCTACTTGAGGTGGACTATATGTCTGCTAGTATCATACCTCCAAGCTTCTTTCCAAAGGGGGACTCAGAACAAGCTCACTAGCACAAGCCGCAAGCCCTTTAGTCTGAATCTTGTAATCCTGCCAGAACCAGAGAAGCCTCGTCCAGTTCTCAGCTGCCTTCTGCATAGTGCTGGACAAGGGGCCTTTAGCAAGATCTTCAATCAAACTCGGCATGACGAGATGCTTGAAAACTGCAGCCCTTAAGAAGTCGGCGACAGCTTTGATTCATGCTCGCCTTCGTTGGAGGAGTTGCACGAAGTATGTACTTTTCTTGGTCTCTTGGCAGACTCAGGCGCGCAGTGGTGAAGAGCCAGAACCTCCGCCGGTGGATGAAAATGTCACACAGGCCAGGTGTACCACGTGAACAGTTGCGAAGCTGCGGTAGATGCGGTAGAATGAATCCCAGATTGCTGGATTTCACCTTGCTACACGGAGGCGGAGAAAGATGCGCACATCAGGCCTCGGACATGCACGGATGTATCTTGTATGCACTCATCATTTTGGCCAGCAATGCGCAACACCAGAAGAGCTGCACTACAGATTGGAGAGTCTTGAAGCGCGGCACTTCAAAAGGGTGCTGCCAAGACCTTGCAAACATCCGGCCAGATGAATGCCGTGACCTGCCGGGTGCGGGTGACAGGGAGGGCTGGCAAAATGCATTCGTGCGGTCAGTTTGACGCATGAGGCTCGGCTAGGCTTTTTTCGATGCAACACTTGTAGCACGCTGCTGGAAGATCAGCGCCGAGGTGCTCTGCGTCGCGCTTTTTGCTGCAAGCCTCTACGGGCTGTATTTCGTTGTTCGTGCCTTGGACTTATGCCACTTCTTTTGCGGGGGGTTTTGATTTTCTGCTGTAACTTCCTTTCGAGAGCTGCTCTGAATGCACAAGGGGCATCCTGCAGCAGTCCAAATCGCTTGTGAAAAGATGGAATCAGATGAGACCGAAGTTCGCTCCAGCGGCCGAGGATATGCGTGGGACAATGGCGACACACGGCGCCTCTACCACGGTCGACCGCCCAGCTCAAGGGTATTCGCAGCTTGTAAGAGCTCCAGGATCGGTCTCAGTGTCCATGCACACTTCCGTACCTTGGACTTGAGGCCTTAACTGGGAGAGCAAGCTGTGCGGGGTAGACGCCGAAGTCGCGGTGTGTGGCTCAGAAGCTTGTTAGTGGAAAACCAGATGTGGGCGAAACGAATATCCGACAGGACAAGCCCTACCTTTACTGGTGCACCAAGCCTGGTGATGGCCTTCTTAGCCAGGTTGGGGGGTTGCTCCATGTCTTTGCAAGATATAAGGGTTTCCGTGAATTTGGTGGACCCTTCTGGGGGGTACCTATAATCAGGACTATCATATTTTAGGGCCTACATTGGGTTCCCCCTATTTATGGAAACTACCATATGAGTCATGATGAGCAACCAGGCGCCGCTCAGAATCATGTACTTTTCATTTTCTTTTCCATTATCCCAATATAACCCCAATATACTATAGTAGTTTCCATTTTCTTTTCCAGTATGTCTATATAACTATATAACCCCAGTGTACCATATGGTAGTTTCCATTTTCTTTTCCATTATCCCTATATAGCCCCACTGTACTATAGTAACCAGGCGCAGCTCATAGCAGACAACCTCCCCGTAGAGGCCCGGGATGCGACGCTCGGTCCCATAGGCGGCATTGGGGCAATATTAGGGTTGAAGTGGGGTGATCTTGGGAGAATGCAACAGAAAATGGAGGCTACTATATCATAGCTTTAATAGGGTATATATGGAACACAACTTCACAGTCGCCGCCCCGGCAGAGGTCGGCGGATATTGGGATCTTCTTTATTGGGATCATGGAAAATAAAATGGAAACTATTATTCAGGGTGTAGGATTGAGGCATGAGCTCTGGGAAGCGGTGCATGCGGTGCCGAGGACTGGAAACCTGATACCATTGGCCAACGCCATCTTGTCTCCCAGCGAAACTGGGTTGCTGTTAAGGAACTTGAATGAAGTTGGCATAATGGGCCCTAAACCCTGAACCCTGAACCCTAAAGATGTGCTCACTGGGGCGCTAAGCCTTTGTGAGTGCCGATGGTCTGCTGATTTATTTCTTATGTTGCTCCTGCAAACTAATTGCTTTTCGAGACACTTGCGAGTCGGAAAAAGGAGCTGCAAAAAAAAAGAGATATACTAAGTAGTAGACTTTCCCCAATACAGTAACTTAATCTAAGTCCTTAACAGCAACCCAGGAAACCATGGACTTGGTGCATCCGCCCCTCGGCATCACTGCCCTGTTTTTTTAGTTGCAAGAGTACTAACAATAATAGTACTACAAATAGTAGTAATACTAACAATAGTAATTCTAATAATAGCAATCGTTATAATCAAGCAATGACATGGACCAAGGATTTGCCTGGCAGCATGCCCGCAAGATCGCAGCACCTTCCATGCATGCTTGCAGCACCTGGACCAAATTTCAGTCATTCCGCGTCTTCATTACACCTAGGTAGTTCCAAGACTGGGCATGCCTCATTCCCATTGCCCTGCGGCAAGAACTGCTCAGCTGAGGGATGTGCAGACTGCCCAGCAGGAGCCCAGGAGCTTTGACGGCCGCTCGGCACCGCATTCTTGGTCATAGTGCTAGTTACTTTCTACTTTCACTGTGGCTGCAGCTGTTAAAGATAAAGCTGCCGGCAGTCAACCCGCTACGACTACTGCAGCTGCCGCCATCGCAATAGCCATGGCCGTAGCCGTAGTCGTGGCTATCGCCACCGGGGCCGCCACCGCTGCTCAAGCCCCGCCACCGCCACTGCCACCCACTGTACTATCGGACTTGCGCTTTCACAACCTTCACAAGGGGGTTGTTAGATTTCACGAAGTCTATGTTCTCTTCGCTGTCCGTGCAGAATATTTCTGCAGTGCTAAACCGCGGAGTACCCAACCACAAGGTATCCAACCCTTGCCCAACCGCAGAGTATCCCTGCAGTGCCCAACCCCGCAGCATCCCTACAACCTTTGTAAGAGACCCATTAAGCCCTCACTGTATCACTTCTGACCCTTTTAAAGGGACCTTGTGTAGGCCTTACAACCCCTGTAAAGTATTTATGCAGTTCTGATAACCACTCGAAAGGGACATAATGTAGGATCCCATACGACTCTTATAACCCGTTAAATTGTGGGACCTTGTGCAGGCCTTACAATCCTTCTAAGGACCCAAGGCAGCCCTTAAAGTGTTATATAGTGTTATAGCCTTTTAAAAGGATCCTTCATAGCCCTTTTCACCCCCAAAATCGACCCTGTGTAGGCCATATATAACCTTGTGAAACGTTCATATCCCGAAAGATTGGCTGAGTAGGATGAACTAGAGTGGGTCAGCAACCCCAAGTGCTGGACTCGAAGCAAGTGATTTCAACTGCTCGCTCGTTGGATGCTTGCTTCGTTCCGTCGGCTTGGATGGAATTCCATTCATGGCCCCTCTTTTGAGGACAGCTCATTATTACTCTTATTGTATTCTTGTTATGATTGATATTCTTATTGTTATGATTATTGGTTTTATTATTGTAACTATTATTGTGATGAGCTTTGTTATTGTTATTGTCATGATTATTGTTATAGCAGGGTTAGCGAGCACTCAGCTTTCCGCAGGTAGCTTCTGGATGAACAGCACCTACATCTCGGATCTGGTATCACGCCAAGACTGTTGTATCGAGCTTCGCATCTTTGGGGCTTCTGGGTGAACAGGGATGTCATTGTTACAAGATGGCTGCTGCCAGCAAGGCAAATAGAGAATCTAGAGCCACTGCCTCAGCCCAGGTACAGGACGTTGAAACCATGTATTTTGCGCAGCGATTCTGCTTGCCAAAGGACCGGGGATCTAGCAACCTGCAGGTAATAGTAGACCAAAGGCAAAGAAACTTGCCAATGACATGCCTGCTCTGCCAGGACAACTTCCTTGTTGAGTGCCTGGGATGCGATGCTTTGGAAATTGTTGGAAATTATTGGCTTGGAGTTTATGATTGGGAAGTGCGCCGGGGCTTGTGGCTGCAGTTGGATCCTGGCCCACAGAATGACATAGAATGACTTCAAATAGCTCATCAAGCATCCGTCGTCGCCATTATGGATGCCTGCCCTATTGCTAGCCCCTGAAGGCATGTAAAATAGCGTGCCTCATTCTGCCATGCAGAATGCCACGCAAGCCAGCACGGAACTTTGCTCACGTCACAACTCACATGGGTGGTTGTCAAAATTATGGTCCCTTTTTGGATCCCTATTTTAATACGGCACCTAATATTTAGGGTACCCAAAAAGGGATCATAATTTTGACGACCACCCACACAACCACGAGGACCTGGCAATCAGATGATTGGGCTTCAATAACAACAGAGCAAAACGCTGGGCCGAAACTCTTGAGCGTTTTTGAGAGCGCTGTCTTTTCTGGTGCCTCGCAATATTCAGGGACCCCAATGATGAGCACCATAACAGCCCCATGAAAACACCAAGTCAGAGATATCAGCAGCTTCTTTTGTCATCACAACTGCTGGCCCGCTGCCTGAGCAATTTTGTATGCAGTGCTCCAGGTGGTGCTTTTAAAGCGGCCTCGCTTATGAATTATGATGGTAGTCCTGGTGTTGCTTTTCCTCATGCTGCTCGTATGTGCTCGTATGGATTTTGCTGCTCGTAGCTCAGCTGCTACTCCAACGCCTGGCAGAAATTCGTGCTAAAGTTTTCGTTTCTGCCTGTACATTGTGCTACGTTTGCCACTTGTTCGGTGCTTTAGATTTCAACTCTGTTTGCTGTCTCTGCTCTAGATGGACCTTCTGTCAGCGTTCGAAATAGTAGAAACAGTAGCTCATGGAGCAGCACCAGAGCGAGCACAAAGAGCCCGTTTGAACTTAAGATAAATATGTCGGATCCCGTTGTTTGCCAAGCTCCTACTCATCTGGCTCCTCAAGCTGAAGCTGCACATAGGGGAACAACAAGCGCGCTTACGATTAGTTTGGTAGTTGTTGCTTCCATGGTGCCTTCTTGAGGACATTTGGATAGTCTCCTGCCCCACATTTTCCATCGCCTTGCGCCAACGCAGCTCAGGCAGTTGAACGAGACCCTCAGTGGTTCCATGAACGCCGTGCCTTGGCAAATGCTTGCTGTTAAGTAGATATTTGGACACGAATTCAGAAGTTTTTTAAGGATTCAAGGATTAGGCATGTTTCTTTTTCAGGCATGTGCTTCGTTGGTCAGTGGTTCGGAATTTGAGACAGGGTGAAGTCCAGTTGAGCCATAATCCAAACTCCTTAAAGGGGGTTATATAAGGGGTTATATGGGGAACTACTACAGGGCTTATGAAGGGGGATAGCAGGAGTTTAGACTACAGCTCAGTTGTTGCCAATCTTGGCAGGTGATGTACAGGGTCCAAGAGGTCGTGGACGCTCGCCGAGTGTATATCCTCGCAGGATTGCCGGTCGCCGGCGTGGCGACCGCTGGGTGCACCTTGTAATTGCTTGAAGGTTTCTGCCCCTGATGTCGGTTGATCTTGCTCTTCAAACGCCCCCTATTATTATCAGTATTTCTATTCTGATTAGTATTACGATTATTGACATTACTACTATCTTATTATTACTATTGTGAGTATTTATATTTTGTTAGACGTGCAGAGCCCTCAAAGTTACTTGCGGTCTCAGTGGCTCAATGGCCTCCTGAGTCAGTTCATAGCTGACATGCAATGAGAGCACACCCATGTGAGCCATAGTCTAAATTTCTAAAAGGGGAATATATAATCTAGGGGAGTGTTGTAGGGGTAACTAAAGGGGACACTAGAGTTTAGACAATGGCTCATGTCACAACGCAGGAGGATTGGCTGTTCCACAGCTGCAGCAAGGAGATTTTTCCAGAGCTAGTGCAGCCGGAACTTGTTAGAAGGTCCATTCAAGACGCCAAGCACCAGGTGACTCTGTGGAGGAACTTTCCGGGCAGTTTGGATTGAGCAGAGTTTAGTTGCCTGTCTGTGAATCTTTCTCATTCTACCTCAAATGTATATCCCCAATACAACCCCTATATCCCCTATATAACCCCTATATATCCCCTATACAACCCCTATATAATCCTAATATATCCTCCATATACCCCCTATATAAAGATTCCTTCCATCCAGACCGGGCTCGGGGATCTCGGATTCCATGCTTCGGACACAGACGATGATGTATTTGGTTTCATCTTGCCTTTCATCCAAGATCGTCATGTGCTATGTGTACCTCTTTGCCATTGACATACTCGCGGCGCCAGCCACGTCCTCAGTCCCGCCCTGGGCGTGATGGTTGTGGGTCAGACGGGTATGTGCATGGTACAAATCAACACCCATCCTAGGAGAGTCCCGAGGGTGACACCCGGAGGTGATAGGTTCCGTGCGTTGGTTTGTTTGGTCCAGGGCTGTCAACTTAGCACTTGGTTGGTACTCATCCCTGTGTCGGAAGTTTGACGAGTAGCGTGGAAGACGAAGTGAAGAGCCCTTCAGATCGTCTACATCACGCTTTTCCTGGCAACTGCTGGACCGCTGGCGGCTGGGCTGTACTTCTTCTATGCGGCCCTGCGCATCGAGTTAGGCTGGTCCAGCAACTTTGCTTTGCAGTTTTTTGTTGTGCCCAAGTAGTTTGCGCTGCCAATAAAAAGGTAAAGCATGGGACATTCCATAGAATCTTACAAATCTTCAACGCCTCTGACTCTGCAAGGGCAACCCAAAGCATGATCGTATAGGGGTTACATAGGGGTCCTACAGGGGTTATACAGGGGTGATATTGGGATTATGGAAAAGAAAATGGAAGCTACTATATTATAAGTATAATATTTAGTGTTTTAATGGACAAGAAAATGGAAACTGTTTTAATGGGCTAAACCCTAAACCCTCAACCTTCAACCCCAATCCCTAAACCCTAAACCCTAAACCCTAAAACAAAAACCGAAACCCTATGGAGGGTTGAGGTTTTAGGATTTACCAGCCAGCTTTCGAACTTGGCAGCAGGCGCCGCCCTGTCCATCAACATCGAGGTTAGGTTGCTCAAGCTGGAATAATGGACAATAATAGTACTAGTAATAGTTCTATTAGTAGCAATAATAACCCCAGTATAACTCACAATAATCCCAGTTTCCATTTCATTTCCCATTTTCTTTTCCATTTGATTCTCCATTTTAGTAGTAGGTTCGACTCGCGCTGAGTTTCCAGCAACTGCGTGCAGGCCTTACCTCTCGTGGAGGGCACCAGCAACTCGTCCGATTTCGGTTCACTTCATGATCAGAGATCAGGGTTATGAAGCCTACTGCCTGAGAGTGTGGTGTTTCTGAGATGATCGAAATTGGGACCTGGTCGTCGGATCTGTCTGTCTTATCCTTGGCATAGCGAGCCTCGGCATATGACGTTGGGGGGTAGGCCAGCCAGATTGTGCACGCATCCTGGTCTCTGCTTGCTATGGTCTGCCTGCAGAACCAAGGGCAACTTGCTTCTGGTGTGGCCTGACAGCATGGTAGCCTAGGGCGGCTGGCCACAGTTTGCAAAGCACCGAACCCTCGCAAGATCTTGCCAGGCTGCAAGAAGAATTCCATCAGCTTCGTGATTGCTGCAGTCAAGGCGACGATCCGAATACTCTACGATGTGAGAGCCTCACTGTAGGAACGAGTGGCCAAGTGCCGCTGTCGGAAGCATTTGCTGCGGCACTTTGAGTTTTCTGAAGCCTGAGGTTCCGCAACTCATCTTGCTACCCGCGGTTGGCTCCGTTGTTCGTGGGGTGATCCTGATCATCTTCCTGTGACTTGGCTGCGCAAACCTCGAGTCTGTGAGTGCCCGTGTCACGAAAGATCACGAAAGGTCCCTTGAAAAGATAAAGTTCCCAGGGGGACGGGGCGGGACAATTTGGTAGTTTCCCAAAATAGGGGCACCCCCAAAAAGACACCAAAATATTAAAATCCGTATTATGAGTACCCTCAAAATGGTACCCCTAATTTTTAGGGAAACCCTCAATCCATCTCAACCCCATGATTCCCAAAAAACTTCTATTAGGCCCCCCAAAATGGTACCCCTAATTTTTAGGCCCGGGATCTGGGGCCAGCATCCTGGGGAGGGGCCCCGGAACTTTCTTCGGGCCCGCTGCTTACTGGTGCTTAGTAGGGAATGTGGGAATATAATGCTCACCCCCCCCCCATGATCCA